TTTACAGGGATTGAACCCAGGACCTCATACATGTTAGGCAGGTGCTTTACCTTTGCATTCCTAGCCACAAGCACAGATTTAAGGATCAGATTGGTGATGGTTCAAATCCATGCTCTGCCACCCTTATTTACCTTCTCCTGTTTTGTCACCTGAGAAGTGGGGAAACTACCCACTGCATAAGGTAACAACAGAAGACATGGCTGAGACCAGTCCTCCATCGGGGTGTATTATCGTCCTTTCAGCAAGTATTTACTAAGTGCCTCATATGGCTATCCTTGTAACCTCTGGTATAGAGGTAAGCAAGTCAGATGATTGTTTGCTAGAGATTTATGACTCTAAAGTGTTTCTGTCCTCCAGGGAGGACCTGGCTATTAATCTGGCTATCACAAGAATCCATTCTCATCAGTCAAGAACAGCTTTAAATAGAAAGCCAGGGACAAGCAATCAACAGCAATCTCACTTGAGTCAACAGCCTGTGCTATTGATGCCAACCAGTCCTGCAAGCTCTGGATGCTGTACTTTCCAGTGCCCAGATGTGAGATCAGCAATCCCCTTTGCTGAGACCATACCTTAGCAGTTGCTGTTCATCTATCAAGCAATGAAGCCAGGTTCCTGTTTAACCACGAGAAGCAGGCTCTGCCTTCAATAGGAAGACTGACTACTTAAAACCCAAGCATAGAAGCAGAGTGTCATCAGATAATAATGTGCCATTAAACAAATGAGTGAATGAGGGCTCATGGATGATGGGGTGAGGTGTGGCAGTCCAAGAAAAGTGGACTTCTGAGCTGAGACATGACAAGCTACTGGCCCAGTTTAGGTAAGATACCTAGTAAGTGTCACAGGATGGCCAGGTGCTGGTGGGTCATGCCTGTAATCCTAGCTACTCAGGAAGCTGAGATCTGAGGACTGATATTCAAAGCTAGCTCAGGCAAGAAATTTCATGAGACTATCATCTCCAATTAAGCACAAAAATAAAAGCTGCAAGTGGAGCTTGCAAGAGGCAGAGCACTAGCCTTGAGCAAAAAAGATAAAGTATAGCTCCCAGGCCCTTAAGTTTAGGCCCCTGGACTGCAACAAAAAGAAAAAAAAAGTCACAGGAAAGACACATTTTGAGCTGGAAAAAAAGCATCTCCAACTTACAAAAATTACAAGTGTAGAAAGAACAAAGTAAGGGCTTCTCACACTTCAATATTCTCTGACTCCTAAACCTTGACAGGATGGAGGAGGATCAGGCAATTCTGAAATACCAACTTGTAGATTTCTATAAAATGCCAAATAAAATGATTTCTACATATAGCAACTATAAAAATAGCAGAATCCCCACACAGCATCCACACTTAAAGTTGCTTTATTTGATAAGTATTTTTTAAGCTGAAATACTGCAGCAATCCCTTCTCCAAAGGTCACACATACAAAGATTCACGTGGCAGGTCTGGCTGGAGGAGTTGCTGTTTGCTGACTACGTGACCATTGCCAAGTCACTTCACCTTTCTAAACCTCAGATCCTACAAGAAGCATCTGCTTTCCTGTCAGCAGAGAAGTGAAAAAGAAAAGCATTGACTGGCAAGTTGCCTCATGCCTGTAATCCCAGCAATTTAGGAGACAGATGTAGGCCAAAGCCCAAGATCTTACCTAAAAAAAGAGAAATGAAAAAGAAATGCAAAAGAAGAGAAAAAGAGCCAGGCACCAGTGGCTCATGCTTGTAATCATAGCTACTCAGGAGGCTGAAATCTGAGGGTTGCGGTTCGAAGCCAGCCCAGGCAATAAAGTTCCTTTGAGACTTTTGTCAATCATGAGGCTTGAATTCTGGTCCTGGATGCTATCCCCAAGCTTTCGTGCTCAAGGCTAACGCTCAACCACTTGACATAGCTCCATTTCTGGCCTTTTGGTGGCTAATTGTTGAGTCTTGAAGGCTTTCACCCGGGCTGGCTTTGAACAGCAATCTTCAGATCTCAGTCTCCTGAGTAGGAATTACAGGTGTGAGCCACTGGCACCCAGCTCCATGAGGTTTTGATGTGCATCTCTCTCATGACTAGTGAGGAACATTTTCTTAGGTGGGTTGGCATTTGTGTTATCTTCTTGTAGGATGCCTTTGCTGTTTTTACTTGAGAAGTTGGTTATAGCACCTTACTCACTCTGTGGAGCAGGGAATGAATTAGATGAGGCATGGCTTCCTGAGCAGGCATCCCAGGGGCAGAAGGAAGACAGTGAGCAATAAACAAGAAAAGCAGCAAAGGTTTAAAGGCAGCAAAGCAACAAAGGCTTAAAGTTGGGCCATACTAGAGCAACCCAGAAGAGATGATCTATGCGGGATGTCTCAGAGAACAAGACATTACAGCACATGTCCAAATATGAAGAACGCGCATCTGGGCACTAGTGACTCACACCTATAATCCTAGCTCCTCAGGAGGCTGAGACCTGAGTATCATGGTAGTCAGCCCGGGAAGGAGTCTATGAGACTTCCTTCCAATTAACGTCCAAAAAGCTGGAAGTGGAACCTTGACTCAAGTGGTAGAATGCCAGCCTTTAGAAAAGGGACGGTGCCCAGGTCCTGAGTTCAAGGCAGAGTACAGGAGGCTGGCTTTCTCCTTCAGCCAGCTTTTTTTTCCCCCTTGGTTGTTTTGGAGATGAAGTCTCATGGAAGAAACAGCAAAAAGTTGTTGTTCCACTACCACACAAACTGGTATGAATACTATTACATGTAAGTTCATTTACTATTTTTGTCCAACACTATATTTTGGAATGACATTATTTAACACACATTTGAAATAATTTTTATACAAACAATTCTCAGAAGGAACAGGTCTCCCTAACCACAAATCACAAAACTTTGAGAGCTATAAAATGTCAGTCTTGGTTTTGTTTTTTTTAACTGTAACAGCTTGAGAACTTTCTATAAAGAGCCACAGAGGAAAAATTCCCAGGACAAATGTTCACCTGGGTGCTTATGTTCAATTCAAACTTATAGCATTGCCAATATATGGGGCTTTCCAATGGCTTTCACTTAAATAAAAAGCAGATCCTTGCCTGGCACTGGTGGCTCACACCTGTCATCCTATTCAGAAGGCCGAGATCTGAGCATCAAGGTTCAAAGCCAGCCTGGGCAGGAAAGTCCGTCAGACTCATCTCCAATAAACCACCAGAAAACCGGAAGTGGCACTGTGGTTCAAGTGGTAGAGCGCTAGCCTTGAGCTGAAGAGCTGAGGGACAGCGCCCAGGCCCTGAGTTCAAGCCCCATGACAAAAAACAAAACAAAAAAAAAACCCAAAGAAGCAGATTGTTTTGGCAACTGAGAGTTGCTCATGGAAAGGAGCAGAGGAAAACCGACAGCCCCTTCACATATATAAGAAAATCTAACAGAAAAAACTGGGGAGGAGTCTGCGAACTTGTTCAGTAACATTGTGGCCATGAGCACTGTGGCTCCACCACCTCCACTGGGTCGGCTTGGCAGGTTTCCCGTGGGACTTTGCATTCAGTAACTGTGAACTATTACCTTAGTAAGAGTGTCTGTGGGACTTCCCTTGAAGGCCAGATAGCCTTTCTCCAGCTCTGCTGGAGCTTATTTCTTATTTCTTGGTCTCTGTTTTTTGAGACAGGCTATACATTCCAGGCTGGCTTCAAATTTTCCATCTTCCTCCAGTGCTGGGGTTCCAGCCACAGGCCACCATGCTAAGCTCCTCCTCTTTTTGAATGAGGACAGGAGAGCTCTGCATGGCTGCCTTTTCAGACAATGTTCCATGTGTGGAAGACATACCCACTCTTGTCTTGTGAGAGTGACCCCAGGTAAAGTCCAGAGAGGCTGATTTTTTAAAAATAAGATGGCATCTTATTAGGCCTCTATGCACCATCTGAACTGAGAGGTTTGTGAGGTTTCATACTGTTCGGAGTTGACTCCTAGGGCTAATACTTTCTCCCTCTGTGCTTACAAAGAATTATTCACTCAACGTAACTAAAAAAAAAAATACAGCAGGCAGGCATTATTTGTTCTATGTGTGTATTTATTTATTTAACACTTATTAAATACCTACAATGAGCCAGGAATCATATTTTATTATTTTTAAAATTTCAAAACCATAAAATATGGCCCCAGGTGACAGATTACCAAAAGCAGCAGGAAAAGTCAAAATTGCTACTACCCACTTTCTGCCTTGCAGCTCAGCTAAGAGCAAAATCTCTAGAACCAAGGGAAATCCCAAGTTGGAGGTGCTCCTGCCAAAGACCAAGAGAAGGAAGCGGAGGTGGCTCAGAGCAGGAGGCACAGGTTGGGTGAGGCTGTGCCTCGGGCCTCCCCTGGTGCGTTAAGGCACGAGAGCACCTCCAGGGTTTGGGCCTTTCACTCCTGGCCCTCCAGTTTGGTTGTAAACCCCTGCCTTCCTTTCCTTTCCTAGTTAAACAGAATTCATCATGATATTTATTGTCCCAATGACCTTATCACTTAAGTTGAATCTAAAATTAAAGTCAACAACACATTTGGTTTCATTTATCCTTCATTAATGACAAAAAATTTCCACTCAAAAACTACACTAAATAGCCATCCAATTTAATTGTAGGGCATTGAACTATCTTGAAAACAAATTACAAGAAAGTTATGTTAATGATTTATCAATAGATACTACCATTGTTTTGTGTTGTTTTCTTCTTTTTGGCAAACTTAGAACCAGAGAACAAAACAATAAGTCTTCACTATCATGTAGAAAAATAAAATCAACCTAAGGTATCTACCTAACTATGTACTAAGTGATCCAAACTGCAAAAGTAAAAACTAAAGTCTGCATTTACAGCAGTTTAAAAAAATCCTTAGTGTGCAAGAAACATAACCAAGTAATACAGATTAATACCAATTAATGAATATGGAAATTTTTCCTATACAGAGGTAGAGTCCAGTGCAAGGCTAAAACAATACTCAACAGTCTGAGCAAAATCGAGCCAGGTTTTATGGAATCCACTGTAAATTTCAGGTATCAGACTGTATGTACAGAGATACAATAAATAGACTATACAATCTTTCAAAGTAGTTTAATAAACCCACAAAATAATAGCAGATGTATTGTAATATTTACATAATTCTCAAATCTCTATCAAATAAAAGGGATAAAAATAAGATCTGCTAAAAAGTCAGCAGAACTTCTTTCCTGAAATGGATCAGTAAAATAAGGTATTTTACATGAGAGGAACAAATTTATGTTTAAGAGGTATTCATATTAAGCTAAGAAAATACGTCCCTTTGAAAGTTACATAGATTGGGGAATATAAACTGATTCTATGTTTTTAGATCTCTAAAGTTTCTAAATTCAACTCTTACTGAAGAGAGAAGTTGATTTTGGTACTCAATTGGAGTAATCAACTCAATTATACTGAGAAGGAAATTTACTTTTCATTTTCTGCTTGCTTGCTTTTGACTGTTTAAAGGCCAGAAAGAACTTGGGCCTATGATGGCCTAAACAACAGTTACGGTTCCACCTCACCTATGTTCCACAGAAGCATGACTGAGCACTCTGGGTTTAGTGTTCATGGGATTGTTATTTTCTGAGTCCCTCCCATTTCCAAAGGACAGTTCACTGAGAGCAGGCATGTGTGGATCAAGTGTTACAACTTTAAGGTATCACAAAGTTCCAAGGTCCTAAAGCATAGGGGGACAATGAAACACAGAAGACCATCAGATTGCGTGTGCCTCAGAGACTTGAAAAGGAAAGAGCTCCAAAGTTGTAGTTACTGTGACCTAAGAAAAGAAAAAATGCAAAGCACTTTATGCACAAATGACTCAGATTCTCAAAATAGACATCAATTTTGTTCTCTGATGCTCTATCTTTAACCCTTTTATTTTAATTATATAAAAGATTCTTACCTAACCCATAAGGAAATTAGGGATAGTCAGAAAATGAAAAAGTATGGTCCTAATTAACGAAGCCTAAACCTTCACAGTTTGAATTTTTGTGTAACTTCTCTAAGCACCCACAATGAAAATGCAAGTTGAGTTTTTTTTATTCAATCATTCTGTGAAAAATACCTCAGTAAATAGTAACATTTTTCCCTTCAGTAATCTTCGCATAAGAATATCCCCCCCTTTTTTTTTTAAATTTTAGATTCTTAAAAACTTTTATACAAATAGACTAGCTTTGATTTCAAGTAAACATATAAAAGTTGAGAATATTGCTTGCAACCATGGGCGTAAAGTGGAGGAGGAGCTGGATGGGGTGCACAGACGTGCTCCTCCGCAGTGACTTCAGGCAGATGCCCAGCTCCCTGGAAACACTCAGAGAAGCACTCTCACACCCCAACAATGGACCTTGCTGCAGTTTCTTTCAGCCCTCTTCACAGAGGCTGACTGATTTTTCTATCACTTCAGGTCAGACGAGAAAAGAAAATGAAAAACAACAATGTAACTGCAAGAAAATTGGAAGGCACAAGCACCCATGTGATCTAGAATTTTCTTGGGGCAGGGAGTAAATAGGGAAAGGGATAATTTTGGTTCAGCACAACAGTCATTACTTTTGCCAATGTTAAAGAGAACTGATATAAAGATGTACATAAATGTAACAAGCACATCCCACAGTGAGGAAGAAAGCTCAGAAGACAGCTCACAAAAATAGTGCAGAGAGAAACAACCAGTACTATTTATTTGGAAGTCTGTGCCATGGTGGGTACAAACTATATTCTCTGCTCTGTGGGACCAAAACCAAACAGAATAAAAACCAACAAACAAAAATCCCCCAAGTTCCAAAAAGCAGCAAGAAGGAATGCAGGAAGTCTTACAGAACATAGTGATCCAGAGGGGCCATGGACGTGGCACTCTTGTCTTTAATGCACATCCAACTCTGCTATCTACTGCATGGTTCCCACCAACTCAACTGACTGGATGGGAACTTAGGAATGAATAGCCAGGCCACTTAATCATTTCCTGCCTCTATGCGACTTCCCTGTCCCTTCATAAACTCCTCCAGGATTGAAGTCTGTTTCCTCTAGAAGGAAGAGCTGTTAGCCATGGGGAAAGGTGTGACTCAGGATTTCCAGAACTGATCTTGCATCCCTTGAAGCCTTGCTGTGTGCAGGGACACAGCACGGAGGTGGGCGTGAAGGCAGCCTGACAAAACTATGAGTTAAAAAAGAAGAAGAAGAAAAAACAAAAAACTAAACCACCCCAACGTTTGTCTTTTCTCAAACTACAGGAAGAGCTTGGGGATGGCCTTGAGTGGGAATATCGTGGTTAGGAGATGATGGCTGGGGACCATCGTGGCAGAGTCAGGTTGTCAGCACTTGCTGACCGTTTTCTTGTGGTTCTTCTCAAGTCCTTGTACTTGTCCTCACAGAGGCGAGAGATGGCCTGCAGGAAGAGAAACAGTGAAGGTCAGAGCTGGGCCCCACTCTAGGCCTGGGGCAGCTCCTGCCTAGCCAGGAAGACTTTCAAGGCGTCCATCTCCAAACCTGTCTCTTGGTGAACATCCATCCCCCAGTCCCAAGGCTGCTTGTACAGCCATCTCACTCCAGATTCATCTGTTCTTCTCTAACCTTCTAAAATACTGCCTACTGTCTGCTATCTATATCTAACTCCACAAGGTAAACTCCAAAAGGGAAGCTTTACTCCCAATGGTGTAAATTCCAACTGAGATGTGTATACAACAGAGCCTGGACACTACAGGGTATGTCTGTTCCAAGTGCCTGGAAACGGAGGGGAGAGTAGGGGCACTTGCAGCTGGCATCAGAACCAGGTTCCAAAGACTGCCTGGAGGAGGGAGGGGGGTGGTGGGCAAGGCCAGGCCCAGGGGCTACACGACAGCAGAGACAGCAGGCTGGCTGCTCAGCCTTCACTCAGGGGGTAGACACCTGTCTGTGATGTTAAAGGAACATAGTAAAACTTGAAACTGCATTTTAGAACAACAATTCCAGTGATAGCATGGAAGATGGACTGGAGGAGAACAAAAGTAATGGAGGAGTTTAAGCAAGGTTGAAGACCTCTCATCCCAAACAGGTACTCACCCATAATTCATACGGATGGTATATTTGAAAAGAAAAAATCAGATTCCTAAGAGGCATTATTAGAGCTTTTTTTTTTTTGGTTGGTTGTGGAGCTCAAACTCTGGTCTGGGTGCTGTCCCGCAACTCTTCAGCTGAAGGCTGGTAATGCCCTACCACTTGAGCTATAGTGCCACTTCCAGTTTTCTGGTGGTTAATTGGAGATATGGGTCTCATGGACTTTCCTGCCTGGGCTGGCTTTGAACCATGATCCTCAGATCTCAACCTCCTGAGTAGCTAGGATTACAGGTGAGAGCCACTGGCGCCTGGCTTGGATCTGTCATTTTCTGGTCCTGGGACTTGGTCACTATTCCTGAGATTTTTTTTTTTCTCAAGGCTTGCTCTACTACTTAAGCCACAGCTCTATTTCTGGCTTTCTGATGGTTAATTAAGAGTCTCACAGGCTTTCATGTCTGGCCTGGCTTTGAAGCACAATCTTCATAACTTAACTTACTGAGTAGAAGCTAGGATTACAGGTATAATTACTGGGTCACCTACAAGATAAATTCTGTAATATTAACTGTTGCCTCTCAGTCTAGTGAGTCTGAATGCAGCATCACAATAGCACCAGGTTAAGCAATGTACTCGAGATTTTATAATGCAAAGTTCTATTAGCCCTAATCACAGACAATTTATTTCAAAGCCAAATGTCTAGCTATCAAAAAGGCACTTCGTGTCTGCCTTGGTTTTCAGTGAGTGTTTCTGTGCTCTGCAGTACAACCAGTGTGTCAGGGGAAAAAAGTCATCTCGCAGTAGATCTGAACAGGTGCAGCACTTTGATACCTGTAGCTTCCACTGTGACTTATTCTTTTTCTTTCTGGCATTTGCTTAACCAAATGGACTAAAAGGATGCTAGGGTATGGGAAAATTACACATCCCTACCCCTTACAAATGATCTCAAAAGGGCATCAATTGCTTTTCCTGAGGCCATTCTGTCCAGCCTTGACAGGATCTGATCCTCAGAAAAGTGCAGCTTGACCAGGACATTACTAACCATAGAGAACTCCAGAAGCACAGCAGCTCAGGACAGATGAGTCCTCTTTCCTTGCTTGACTTAAACCTCACATGGTGGTGTGAATATATGGTAGGTACCACCCCCAATGCCCACCAGCCTGTGCTCACAGGTGGGCTGACCTACCACTGGATACACTCCAGAGGATGCATACAGGTAGGTTTTCTTTAGGGATTAGTGACCTTAGGAAGTCCAAGTTCCTCTTCTCCTTAGCACTGCAGGAGCACTTAGAACCCATTGCAGCATGCAAGGGGCCTGGAGTACAACTGGGCATAGGCTCATGGTCAGTGAAAACCTCTTGTTTTATGTATGTGCTTGCATAGGTCTGCACATGTGACTTGGAAAAAATGCCTCAGAGGAAGGCATTCTAGATTTCCTTTAAAAAAATTGTTTTTTGAGGTCTTGAGCCTGTGATCCTCCTGCCTCTGAAGTAGTAAGATCACAGTATGCATCATACAATGCTCTTCAGTTTTCCTCTTGATAGAGGAGACTTAGGAAACTGAATGACCATTTTCATCCCAATGGCTGGGAACAAACACACTGAAATGACTGAGTTCTACAAACTTCTCTGCATTTAAAAAAATATTCTTTAAATTACTTTATTTTTTGTTGGTCATGGGCCTGAACTGTGGGTCTGGGCACTGTCCCTCAGCTCTTCAGCTCAAGGCTAGCACTCTGCCATCTGAGCCACAGCGCCACTTCTGGCTTTTTCTGCTTATGTGGTAATGAGGAATCAATCCCAGGGCCTCAGGCATGCAAGGCAAGCACTCTACCACTGAGCCACCTTCCCAGCCCCTGCATTTTTGTTTTAACCAATCTTTTCCATTATTTTACTAAGTTTTCTTCTTGAGATTTCCACATCACTTTTTTGTGTAAATAAATATATATGATTTTTAAATCTGTGATCTTAACAAATCTCTTCCTCAAGCTCTTAGTTTCATTTACAGCTGTTATACAAGATTATGCTAAAAGTGTTAGCATTTTACTTGAAACAGATGGTAGAGTGAGCAGCATGGGGACCTCTTGGGACAGGGTTGTGCCATCTACCATTTCAGTCATAGGCTCTATGGTTAAGGCCAAAACACTGCCAAAGTTAAATTCCAGAGGAAAAGAGATCAGGCCTCAGCAAGTCTTCTCTGGAAGAGCCTCTTACCCTTCTTACCACCCTGCCTTTCCTTCTAATAGATGTGATCTCCTAAGTGGAGAGGCTGCCATTGTGGTGACACACACATATCGACATCATTTACATGGTTCTCTGCCCTGCAAGCAATGTCCTAAACCACCTTACCTCCAGTTTGTGGGCCCGCTCCCTACTCAGAGGCTCCAAGGGAAAGCTCAAGTTGTTTGCTTCTGCCAGAGAGCGAAGGTCAAAATAATACTTGGCATACACACTGGAAGGGACATTGATGTTGAACTGGAGCAATTCAAGGAACTGTCGCTCTAGTTCATTCCTGCAATGAAAAAGCAAAAGTAGTACACACTTAGCTATTCCAGTGAGCCAGTATGGCTCCCAAACCCACAGAGACCTACAGACTGAGGGGGTAGGAGACAGGGGAGGGTATCTGATTATTACCTGGTTAGACACCAGAGACAGTTCAACCATCAAATTGGTGTTAAAAGCTGAATCTATTTGGGTTGGAGCTCAGAAGGATGAAGCCTAATTAACTGGGATGCTTACCAGGAGTGCTTAGGCAATGCATTTCTCTGAGAACAAACACATGCACAGCCACTCTAGCTATAAATTTCAAAGGCCTGCCTTTGACCTTGTCTAGTCTGAGCCTGGGCCTGGCATGGTAGAGTGGTCAAAAGCTGTTTCTGAGTGAGGTGGCAGACAGTAAGGGTGGGCCTCTGTACACCTAGAGAGGAATGGCAATGGCTCTCCCCTGACTGCTAGTAGAAATGAGTGGGGAAGGGTTTAGAGCCATCCTGAAGGGAAATACTGAGTTGAAGTTTTAATCCCAGCCCCAGTCCTTAAAAAGGAGTTCCCAGTTTGGGGCACCTAGTTTCCAGGTGGGCTTGTGACAAGCTTAGCAGGCCCATACCCAGGCTGACTCTGGTGCTAAGAGTGTTTCCCAGCACCTTCTTCCCCACACTTTGAGAACTGGTCAACTCAGGAGCCAATGAGCAGAAACAGTCAAGAACCATCTTGGAAACTCACACATTTTGATGAAAATGACAAGAGCCAGAACCTCCACTTTGAGAACTTCTCACATTGGTTATCTTTCAAATTAGTTATTTGTTGAGTGCTAATAATTTTGGGGGGAGTGACAGAGCTGTTTTTTAAGGGCTGGCCCTGGACTGGTCAGAGTTTCAGCACCACCTCTTTAGAAAGCACCCAGTGAGGTATACCTCATTCAGAAGCACCCAATGATGTCAGTTTCTTCTGTCCTCCCCACCATACTGTAATTGTTGGCTTTACCTGCTCTCTTCTACTAGTCTTCACATAGCCATTTACTGTGATATCTCATATTTATTACATGCCCTGTCTGACTTTACTGACAAGTAAGAGCTGAACTGAGTTGAGGGATGTCTGGAACTTAGGCAAAGAGGACAAGGGGCTCAGCACTAAGTGCCTCTGTCAGAAGGGCCTACTGGGATGCCCAACCCCATTCCCAATGAAGGAAGCTGAATGCTGGCAAGCCTGACCAGTAGGGTGAGCCTCTGTGTTGTGTGTCATGTTCCGTGACTCCATGGAAAACGTACTGATTCTTTAGACCTGCAACACTGCAGAAGCCTCGGTCCAACAGGCTGTGCCAAGCTCTATGAGTATTGTCATTGAGTCACCTTACCTAAGGGTTAAGAAGCTGAGAAGACTATAGCCTTGTTTCGCGCTGCTGAGGAAGGACGGGCTCAAAGGAAGCAAGGATCTGAACCAGGGAGGCTGGCTTATGGAATAGAAGCTACTGGCAAGTGAAAATTAGTAAGCCATACCCAGGGTTTTTTGTTTTGTTTTGTTTACTAGTCCTGAAGCTCAAACTCTGGGATTGGGCGCTGCCCCTGAGTTCCTTTTTGCTTCAGGCTAACACTCTACCACTTGAGCCATAGTGCCACTTCCAGTTTTATCTGTGATTAACTGGAGATAAGAGTCTCATGGAGATGGGGACTTTTCTGCCCAGGCTGGCTTCGAACTAAGATCCCCAGATCTCAGCCTCCTACTACCTAGGATTACAGGCATGAGCCACTGGCACCTAGTAACCCAGGGTTTTTGTTTTGTTTTTGGTGTTGGTCCTGGGGCTTGAACTCTGGGTATGGACACTGTCTCTGAGCATTATGCTCAAAGCTAATGCTCTACCACTTGAACCCTAACTCCACTTCCAGCTTTTTGGTAGCTAACTGGAGATAGGAGTCTCCTGCCCAGGCTGGTTTTACACTGCAATCCTCAGATCTCAACCTCAAGTAGCTAGGATTGCAGATATGAGCTACCCAAACCCAGCTGTACCCAGATCTTTTAACTAGATAAACAGAATATCTTGCTTGTTTCTAAACAGCCAACTAAGAGAAGTTGGTAAGCTCCAAATGTGCATATTGTGCTAAATTTTACATTAAACTGTTGTTTGGGACTTATTTTTAACTTTTAAATGCCTTCTATTCATTCTTAATTTAAAGGAGCTTTTATGAGATTATCATGTCAAATACTAGAACTTAATTAATATCTCAGTAATGTGGGAATGTCAAAAGGCCAGAAGTGCCAAAATAAATGTGCTACATGGGGTAATCCCAGGAGACTATGGGAGCTGACTGTGGCTAGACAGCCACCTGCTGGTTAATAGACATCACTGCAGAGCTTAGGCTCAATGAGCAAAAAACAAAACAAAACTTGTTTTTTTATATATTTATTTTTTAATATTTTAGAACTTGTCTTGATAAGCCTATCCAAAATAGTATATTGCACCATTCACTCCAGCTGAAAGTATACATTATGAGTAAAACAAAGAGGAAGATATTTTGAAACAAGGTGACATTTTCTAGGGATCTTTGGAAGAAAAAAAACAATCTATAGCTTGTGCTTCATGAATATAAGTTTTGGGGAAATAGAGCTGTTATGTTTTCAGATAGAAGCAGGATTTATAAAGTAGAAATAGTCAAAAACTAATTTCCAAACTGCAGCACATCTTAAAGGGACATCTGATGGCTTGCTATGTGATACATTAACAGAAAACTACCAGTAATACAGAGAACAGGCCTTACTGTCCTAATTTGGAAAGTTATGAGGAAGCAGTTCTGAAGCAAATGTTTATGAGAAATCTATTCTATTCAATGAACAAAAAACATATTTCAGAAGTGACTGTTACATATAGAGAAATCTGACTCAATTGTTAGAATATATTAACTTGAAAATAGGCCTTTTACTGGGCTCTGGTGGCTCATGCCTGTAATCCTAGCTACTCAGGAGGCTGAGATCTGAGGTTCTCGGTTCAAAGCCAGCTTGGGCAGGAAAGACCGTGAGACTCTTATCTCCAATAAACCACCAGAAAACCGGAAGTGGCACTGTAGCTCAAGTAGTAGAGCGCTCGCCTTGAGCTGAAGAGCTGAAGGACAGCGCCCAGGCCCAGAGTTCAAGCCCCACGACAAAAATACAATAAAATAAAAGAGAGAGAGAGAGAGAGAAAGAAAGAAAATAGGCCTTTTAAGATGGAACAAAGAGAATGATTTGCACCATCTAATGCAGTATTAGCATTTCTAGAAACTAGGCTCATTTCAGAAGTTGGCACCAAACCAGTGGGTCCTAATGAGATATCAGATCAGGGCGCCATGATGAGGTATCTATCATCTCATACATTCAAAGCAGTGCTAACACTGGTTCAATGTGGAAATAACATTAAGTCCCCAGAGACAAGATCAATGGGTGAACAAATGGGGAATATGCATAAAATGAAATGTTATTCAGTCTTAAAAAGGAAACTATGGCAAATGGCTACAGCACAGCAGAGATGAATCTTGAGAACATATGCTACGTGAAATAAGGCAGTCCCCAAAAGACAAATCTTACATATGATTCTGCTTGTATGAGGTACTGAGTAGCAGAAAGAAAGTGGGATATGGCAGTCAGAGGCTGGGAAAGGGAAAGGAAAATTAGTGTTTAATGGACACAGTTCTAGTTTGGTAAATGAAAATGTTCTGGTGGTGGATAGCAGTGATGGTGCAGAACCATGTGAATGTACTTTATGACAGTGAACTGAACACTTAAAAAAGGTTAAAATGGTATGTTTTATGCTACATATATTTTACCAAAACAAAAACAGACATTTACCAGTTATCTAGGGAGGAGCTGTGAGGTTCTTTTATTCTGTCCTTGTCTGCCATTTTGACTCAAGATACTTCCTTTCTTTCCCTCTCATTTCAGATTTTTGTCTACATATGAAAATGGCCTTTATAAGATAACTGCAAAGAAAATACTAATTCCCAAGTATAAATACATGTTTTATTAGGTTATATTAGTTATAAAAGGAGGATTTCACAGTTGCACTTTAACATGTTTACAATGTATCCCAATCAATCTCACCCAAGTGTAATTTTTTAAAGAGCTTTAAAAAAATGCATGAAGAACTTGGCACAACCAAACTTCAGTGCCCCTTTCTCATTCATATATAGCAACTTTCATTTGGTGCTCAAAGATAACCTGGGATAGTGTCACCACTTAACCACTGCTGAATCTGAGAAGAGCAAGACTGAACTACGAACTGTGGCCCATCTTCCTCAATGTGGTCACCATCAATCTGCTCAGTCATCTGATGCTGGTGAACAGGGACTGCATATCTGGATGCCCTGGCCATTCTGCAATCTGTCATGCAGCTGCAAGCAAGAGGGTGACCTGCTCACCCAAAGCCCCACCGTCCACAGGGGCAAGGGGCTATGTATCAAGCTGAATGACTTTTTGTCTATGATTGGGATTCGAATTCAGTATCTAAGACTTTCACTCACTGACTGGAAATCTACCACCTGAGCCATGCCTCTAACGCCAAGGGTTATTTTTCTTTCTTTTTGCAGAATGACTCTAGAGCTGGACACCAACCTGAGGTCAGAAACATCAAGGAGTAACCTAATGACCCCCTTTAATTCAGAGACCTTATTCAGAGACCTTGTCTCCACATATAGTGTATTTGTGTGTATATTTAGCAGAGAGCATAATTCATTTCCAGAACTCTCCCTTCTAACCTCTCAAAATTTGTGTCTAGCTGGGCTCTGGTGGCTCACGCCTGTAATACTAGCTACCAAGGAGGCTGAGATCTGAGGATTGTAGTTCAAAGCCAGCCCAGGCAAGGAAACTCTGTAAGACTCTGTTTTGTTTTGTTTTTGTTGATCATGGGGCCTGAACTCTCAGCTTGGGCACTGTCCCTGAGCTCTTCAGTTCAAGGCAAGAGCTCTACCACTTAAGCCACAGCGCCACTTCCAACTTTTTCTGCTTCTGTGGTGCTGAGGAACTGAACCCAGAACCTCAGGCATACAAGGC